GGGTTTTATAGTGCGAAGGCCCATGTTGATGGAAGGTTTGAAACGACGGATGCATGCATTTGGGAACCCTGAAAGTATATATTATAAACACTTGGTATCACAAGTTAACACCACAATCAAAGAATCAATAAGTAGATAATATCCGGAATGTTATTGTTTTTCCAACCAATATATATAGTCTGCAAATAACATTTACTATATTTTTTATGTTACGTAGTATGATTTTTTGTTGATTTCAAATGCTTTCTAAATTGGTGAAAATTTGAAATGAAAATTTAGTTTGAGACACAACTTATAACTTGTCAATGATTTATAAAATATTTAAGTATGAACGAAAGGTCACTGATAACAAATTAATCTTTGGCTACATTACATATGATTTTGTGTTAGGATTTAGATCCAATAAGTCTGATTATTTGAAAACATTTAAAGACATCTATGATTTATATTGGTTCACTCTCATGTCTCAACGTTAGAATTATGTCCATTTTACACCATTGCAGATTTCACAATAATCAAATAAATTTTTTGTTATGTTTGATAAAACAAGAGAAGACAAAAACAGGGTCTGCCATTAACATCGACCTCGAGAATTAGGTGGAGAAGCTCTATATGACAAGAAATGATTCCGTAGGAAAGGGATATATAGTGCCGATTCCAAAAGGTAAAATGTTGAAACAATAAAAAATGAGAAAGTTATCTCAATTTTTTTTGAATTTTAATTTACAATAGTATGTACAATTAAATCATTGTGAAAGCATACCCCTCTTTTTCATTGCCTTTTTGAATTTTTTTCCTTTTATAGATCTTGTCAAGATTTGTCAATAGAATACACACTATCTAATTCTCTTTAAACAACTAATTTTTATCAATAAATTAAATGGACAATTCAAAATGGTCGACATATTATTATATTTGATCGTTAATAATAGATTGCCATTTTTCCCCACCAAGCAGCATAATCCAGAGTTATAAACGAAAAAAACATTTAGTAAGATTCCAGATTTTTTATAGCTTACAAAATCAATCA